GATCCTTTTTCTAGCGTCAAACTTCTATGATTCCAATTTGTTAGCCTTTCTTGTAGAATCCATCATAAAGATAAGAATAGATAACCTCAGCTGCAACAATACAGTATGGTAGACAGATTAAGAGTCCTTTTATACCCATGTGTCTCTGAGTACATAGGACAGTATCATATTTGGTTGAAGTGAGAGACAAAATGAACTAAAGACAGCACCATTCCTCTTTTCACTTTAAGATTTACATTCTTACTCTTGTTTCACCAAAAATCCAAATTATGTGCTTGTGCTCACTCTTCTCTTCCTGAATTTCTTTATTCACAAATAATTAATGGCTCTTAATTTTTTGAAATCATGGATTGCTTTGAGAATCTGACCAAAAAAAAAACAGTCTTCTACTCCATAGCACTAAAAAAATAAAAAAAAGACACATGTATAATCACACAAAATTTTAGAGGATTCAGAAACCCTCATAAATCTATCCATGGATTTCCTTGTTATCACTCTCAATTAAAATTTTCACAACTAGAAGATGTCTACATTTGTCGCCAGTGTTAACATTCTATAGTTATAAAAGATCCTTTGAATAATGGATATATCAAACTTCGCATGTTTCAAACTGAATTCCTACTCTACATCTCCAAAAATTGATTTATCAATTCATTCATTCTCCATATCAGTTAATAAAATTCCACTTTTCCAGTTCCTCAAGACAAAAATCTAGAGTTATCCTACTCTCTTTCTCTCTTATCTCTGTCCTCCTGAAGTCACTGGACCAACACTCTAATTTGATCTTTAAACGAATTAAATTTATTGAAGGAATGAACCAAGGGTGAGCATGTGTTCAGTTTGGGCAGTAACCGTATGCTCTGCCTTACAGGCAAAACAGATGTTTAACAAGCAGAGTGAGTACAGATAACAACTTCACATCAAAGCAATGTCAGGAAAGGAGGTGAGATTTACAAAGGTGGCAATTATCTGTGAAATTTTCTTTACAGCAGTTTCTAGTCTAAAACAAATCTCTCATACTTGAAACATTTTAACTAAGGCAATGTTTCTTAAATGAAAAGTATAAGCAATTTCAACATGACAATTTAGTGATATGGAAGTTAGTGACATAATTGCAACTGGGCCAACTTAATTTCAATCTTTGGATACAGAACTGGCCGTTAGTTACTTGAAACCAAAAAACAAACCCCTTGCCATTGAGTCTATTTCGACTCATAGCAACCCTACGATACTGAGTAGAACTGCCCCATACGGTTCCCGAGGAGAGGCTGGTGGATTCAAATTGCCGATCTTTTGGTTAGCAGCCTAACTCTTAACCACTATTAGTTAAACTATTAGTTAAAAAAATAAAAAATAAAAAAACCAAGCCTCTTGCTGTCAAATCAATTCCAACTCATGCCCCATGGGGTTTTCAAGGAGCACCATGGTGGATTCAAACTGCTGACCTTTTGGTTAGCAATCTTAGCTCTTAACCACCATGCCACCTAAGCTCTGACTTATAACACCCAATAGGACAGGGCAGAACTGCCCCATAGGGTTTCCAGGGAGCAGCTAGTGGACTCAAACTGCCAACCTTTTGATTAGTAGCCTGAGTTCTTAGCCACTGTGCCTCCAGGGGAACTTTTTAAGGTCAGTTAAAACAACGTATTTATCTATAGGCTCTAATTTATTTTAACAACTGAACTAAACTTTTTCTAAGACCAGCCGAGGGAACACTCTTAGCATAACAAACACCACGACTGAGCTTTGTTTTTCAAAAGGCAACTTTAATAGAAACCTAATGGTTATCAGGAGTATAGAAGCAAAGCCCTCAGTTTAATTTCTGAATGGAGTGTTTAATTTTTGTTCTGAAATGTCCCCCATTATACCTACAGGTACTCAGTATTTAAAAGTTCCTCAAATACCTCCTCTTCAATCTTCCAGGAAATTTTGGCACAGTGCTTAAGAGCTTCACTGCCAACCATAAAAGTCAGCAGTTTGAATCGACCAGCCACTCCTTGGAAATTCTATAGAGCAGTTCTACTCTGTTACATAGGGTCACTATGAGTGGGAATTGACTCAGTGGCAATGGGGTTTTTTTTTTTGTTTTTTTTAAACCTTCAAAATGTATTCTGAATCTGACCACTTGTCACCACCTCCACTGCTACCATCCTGGTCCAAACCACCACCATAATTGCCAAGAGTATCTCAATAGCCTCCTAACTGGTCTGCACTCTTGTCTCCTACAGCCTATTCTGAATACAGCAGCCATTGTGGACCTTTAAAAAAAAGAAAAAAATGTCAAGTGATGTGACTCCTGTTCTTAATGCCCTTTAAGGCTCCCATTTTATTTGAAGTTCAAGTCAAATCCTTAAGTGAAACGGTCTTCCAGGAGCTGGCCCTTCATTATCTATGCATCTTCATCTCCTAACTCACACCTCCTGGCTCACTCTGCTCCAGATCTGTTGGCTCTCTCACTGTTTCTCAAACATGCATGTCAAGCATGGCCCAGCATCAGAGATTTCAAGCTGTCTGTCCCCTTTGCCTGGAATGCTATTCCCCCATAGATTTGCATGGCTCATCCCCTCATCTCCTTTAAGTCCTTTTCAAATGTCATTTGCATACTAAAGTCCATCCTAATCACTGTATTTAAAATTCCATTCCCACCCCTACCCCATCACTGCCCATCCTTCCTACTCTACTCAGACTCTCCCCCATACCCACTGTCTTCCTCCAACTCCTGTTCATTAAAAATTTATTGCCTGTTTCTCACCCACCAGAATACAACATCCTCAAGGGAGAAAGACAGATCAGTTTTGTTTACTGCTATATCCCCAGAACAAAGAGCAGTTCCTAGTAACTAATTAAAAACAAAAACAAAAACACACAGTTGCCATAGAGTCGATTCTGACTCATGGTGACCCGTGTGTGTAGAGTAGAACTGTGCTCCGTAGGATTTTGCATGGCTGATTATTTACAAGTAGATCGTTAGGCCTTTCTTTTGAGGCCTCTCTGGGTAGATTCAAACCACCAACCTTTTGGTTAGCAGCCAAGCATGTTAACCTTTGCACCAGCCAGTGACTCCCCAGTGTAACTATTGGACTGAACTTCCAGTTCTAGATGAGGTCAGATATATCATTGGATGGAATACAGTTTAGAAGGGAACATATGTGTGTGTGTGCACTTAGGTGTTTGGCAAACAGTGATCCTTTGAAAACCAACCTAGACTCTGCAGCCCCATTCCAATTGCAGCTGAGGTCACAGAGAGGCAAAACCACTTAGCTGCCCCTGACCCCAGGTGCTTACCCTTTGTTGGCAAGGTCGGTTCCTGGAAATGACACACAGTTCCCTCTCTGGTACTTTGACCTGCCTTAGTTAGAGAGGATATATGCATTTCCTCAACACTCCTTTGGGACTTCTTCCACAAAGCCTCCCAGAAATATTTACCTCAGCCACCAAAGACTCAATTAGATCTCACTTGGAGTTTAGGGATGATATGTTAATTAGAATATGATGAAATGAGGAGTATTCTACTAAAAATTAAAAGTTCACTTTTTTCTTTATGATCTAAGCCAGCGTATAAACACTAAATGTATCTGATAATAGAAATTCTCCACACTGTATCCTTTAGATTTTCTAAAATGTGTCATGTGGTCTATAATTTTGTTCCTTGTTCCCTCTGTCCAAGCTACCCTTCTCTGTCTTGTCTTTCAGCAAAGTACTATCCATTCTTGGAAACCAACAATAGGGCCTTTTTATATTGTAAAAAACCTCATGTCTTATATGTAAAAATACTACTACAATTAAGAAAAGTGTGCATCACAAGGAAATAGTCTCTATTATTTAATTACAAATTCACCATACATAAAACTGAACAACCAAACAAATACAAATATTTATACACCTTAATGGTTATTAGGAGCCCTGGTGATGCAGTGGTTAAATCGCCCAGCTGCTAACTGGAAAGTCAGCAGTTCGAATCCAACCAGTGTCTCTGCAGGATAAAGATGAGTAACCTGCTACCTTAAACGTTTACACCCTTGGAAACCCAATGGAGCAGTTCTACTCTGTCCTATAGGGACACTATGACTCAGAATTGACTCGAAGGCAATGGATTTGGTTTGATTTGGGGTTAATGGTTATTAATCACTACCTCCAATAATGATTTTCACTCTAAGTATTCCTTTAGATTTAACACTTTTTGGAATCTCTCTTTCTTTCTCTATTTCTGCCTCCTTTTCTAGCTGTATCTCCATTTCTATTTCTGCCTCTCTCATACAGCTTCTATAACTTAGCTCTTGATTCTTTAATTGTTGGGGGAAAACATTATTTTGCTGAAAGCTCACAGTGACTCTAACTAAAGCTGTTTGTTCTCTCATGTGCCTATTGCCAATGAAACTTGTTATCTTTATGTTATGACAATACAAGACTAAGAATCAGAAAACAAAACAAATCAAGCAAACTTTTTCTAGGGCTTTTTTAAAGTAGGTATTTTTCTTACTACTTCCTAACTCACTTTCTTCGAACAAGTAGGATAAGAACCTTTGGAGTTGGGACTTCTGAGTTTACATTCCTCCTTTCTCATCCATGGACTACAGGATATGAAGCAAGAGATTTAATCCATCTAATCTGGACAATAATTCCATAACCAGCTGTAGTATTCCTATTTATAGATTAAAATATTATACACAGGCAACTTATGAACTTTCAAGTGGAAATAAAAAAATGAGTGTTTCTTTTAACCTTCTCAGAATCCCAGCAGTTTAATAGACTCTGTTCTAAGCTAACAGACAACATTTTTCCAAATGCCCCAGCCCTATTTATTTTAAAAATACACTGAAATACATTAGTACATGACTTAAAAAGACAAATACAAAATGGTGTTTCTACATTACCCAATTATTTTTTGTCTGTTTGCTTCTTTTTTTTTTTTTAATTTTTATTTCTAAGAGTACAGGCTGATAACAATGAAATACAGATAATCTGTTAAAAAATAGCCATTGCTTACCAAGTATTTTCACTTAAGAAAACTTTGCTCTGTCTAACATTTTCTTCAAGGCATCTTTCACGTCTTTATTTCTTAAGCTATAGATCAAGGGGTTCAACATTGGAAACACCACAGTATAGAACACTGACACCACTTTATCCCGTTCCAAGGCATAGCTAGTGCTTGGCCGGGAGTAAATGAAGAGAATGGAGCCATAGTACAAGGTGACTGCTGTCAGGTGAGAGCCACAAGTGGAGAAGGCCTTGAAACGTCCTTGGGCAGAGTGGATCTTCAAGATGGCGGCGATGATGAAGAGGTAGGAGGCAAGAATGAGCACGGTGGGAGTAATGACATTGGTGGCAAGTATGAAGGATAGCATAGCCTGGTAACTGTCATTCACATTACACGCCAACTTCACAAGTGGGGGAAGATCACAGAAGAAATCATCAATGATATTGTTGCCACAGAAGTTCAGGGTAAATGTTTCACTGGTGATGATCGTTGAATTAACAAAGCCACCAAAGTATGAAGCTGCAACAAGACTGGTACATAACCTTGGAGACATAGCTTGGGAATAAAGCAGGGGATTGGAGATGGCCACATAGCGGTCATAAGCCATGGCAGCTAACAGGTAGCACTCACTATATGCCAGTCCAGCAGAGAAGAAGAACTGAGCCAGGCAACCAGCGAAGGAGATGCTTTTGTCCTCAGAGATGCAGGTCACTAGTATCTTTGGGGTGTAGACAGAGGAATACCAGAGATCCAGGAATGACAGATTCCCAATGAAGAAATACATGGGTGTGTGGATCCGTGAATCACCACAGATCAGAGAAATCACGGTGATATTCCCTAAAAGACTGATGACATAAATGATGAGGAAGATAAAAAAGAACCCTCTCTGTAACCTCGAGTCGACTATGAACCCTAAAAGTATGAACTCCTTCACTTTGGTGAAATTTTTATCTTCCATTGCTTTTGGGCTTCAATGGTCCTTTCTGTGAAAGAATTAATGGGTCATGAATTAAGATATCAGCGTACCCCTCCTCATAATTTGCCATTTTAATTAATGAAAACCAACTGAAGCACATATATTGTTCCTTGTGAGATGTGTTCCTACTGACCTGAGTGGTACTCCTTTTTGCATAGCTTGGAAACCAGTTCTATGATATGGTCTTTTTTTTTAATATATTTTATTGTACTTCAGGTGAAGGCTTACAGAACAAATAGTTTCTCATGAAACAGTAGTACACATGTTGTTTTATGACATTGGTTAACAACCCCACAACATATTAACCCTCTAAATTCTCAACTTTTTTTTTTTTTGGTGAAAATACACACAGCCAAAGATACACCGTTTCAAAAATTTCTACATACACAGTTCAGTGACATTGACTACGCTCTTCCAATTGTGCTGTTATTCTCACTTAAGATGGAGGCTTACAGAACAAAATAGTTTCTCATTTAACAGTTACTACAAATGTTGCCCTATGACAATGGTTAACAATCTCACAACACATCAACAATATATGATATGGTCTTAAGAGCTCAGTATCATGTGTCTGAAGTAGCGTGTACCTTATATTTTTAACCAAACTTTGCTTTCTTTTGGGGAGACAGTGATTTGAATAACTTTCTCTTCTGGCCACACTTAGGGTGATTGTGGACCATGTGAAGGACATAAAAATGAAAGTTTGAAAGAATGCTCTGATAACTCTTCATGTCTTTGAGTCCTTTGTCTTTTTCCATAGAATTACATAGAGAAGTGTGATCTTATTATTCTAACTGAATTTTGAAATATCTTTGAAAATTCACTAAACTGTAATATTCTTGAAGGCAATAACTATATTTTATCCTAAAAGGCAAGAACTATATTTTATTCCTCTTTTTATCCCAAAAACCAAGCACAAAGTTTGTCATAGAGTAGAAATTGTTGAACAAAAGACTAAATTTACTTAGATAACTGGAATTTGAGCCATGGCTACTTTTATGATCCCCAAATATACTCTGAAGAGAAGTGACAATACTAATTTGTGGATGATTATGTTCGTATTGTGAGTTGCAATTTCTATAGAATGAAGAGTTTTTAAAAACTGGCTGGATAAATGGTTTTGGGGAGTTATGGAATGTAGCCTCTGAAAGCCCTTAGAGGTAGAAGTGGGAGATTGGACTATTGCCCACAATGGGGGAAGGATCATCTTAGCTTTTGTGTTACAGTCCAGAGGACCTCTCCTACAACCTACCACAATCCGTTGCTGTTGAGTCAATTCTGACTCATAGCCACACCAGAAGACAGAGTAGAACTGCCCCATAGTGTTTCCAAGGAGTTGCTGGTAGATTCGAACTGCTGACCTTTTGGTTAGCAGGCAAGCTCTTGACCACTGCACCACCAGGGCTCAAGGAAGAGCTAAATCACAGTAGCAAGGATTCTGGACTAGCACGGGATGTTAAAATTTTTGCTAATAGGTCTATGACTTGAAAATATCTTACATTAGGAGAAATAAAACATCTTACTTTGGCCGTTATGCAAGGCCACGGACTTTAAATAGAGCTGGAAATATAAAGAATGTTCTCTTGGAACTTTATCTATTTGATGACAGACAATTTCTTTCCACTGGTGTGGTTGTCGTTGTCATTAGTTGCCATCAAGTTGAATCACTAGAGTGGTAAAAAGCTAGCATTTTCAAATTTTAAAACACGTTTTGAACCATAATTATTGTTAAAGACAACAAGATGGCTGCATCAATGGGCTCAAGCATAACAATCGTTGTGCGGATGTCGCAGGACCAGGCAGTGTTTTGTTCGTTGTACATAGGGTCATTGTGAGCTAGAATCAACTGGAAGGCACCTAACAACAACGTCGTTAAAGTAGAAGTTGTTCATAACAACCAAAAGAGGATTGGAATACGTGACATTTAAGTTCCCTTCATATTTCAAGATTGTTGGTGCTAAGGTCATTTTTAACAAAGCATATCTCTAGAAGCAGCTTAGTACCCAGAATCAGGAGACACTGTTTCTGAACTTGGTTGACCACTGACAATTTTAAATAAATCATGCCCTTCAGAACTTTACTTTTTCACCTGTCTTTCTTCGTTTAGTAGGACTTTATGAAATCAAATGAGATCACATGTGAAAAAGCACATTTAACACTAGATGTTAACAACTGGAAATTGTATTCTCTAAAATTTCGTAATTTCCTCATCTCAAATCCTCCCTCAGTTATACTTACTTTAAATCTCAAAGATTTCCAACTGTACCTGTGATATGACTCCCAGAGTATTAAGTTTTCTCTTGCAGAAATTATTCCTTCCTTATTGTGCAGTTTTACACAAGCTGAACAATTGCTCAGTTTGTTTATAAGATCAAATTGGGAATCAAAATTCAAGAGACGATTCTCCTCTAGCCTCTCTTGTTTTCCCCTACAGTTATTAAAATTTAAAATAAGTATAAGTGTGAATATATATATATGAAAATGTTTATCAAAGCTTTTACAGATTAAAAAGGGTTTAAGGTTGCTTCCCCAAATGTCTGTCTGTTGGACTGTGTTGCTTTGTGTTTCTGTGATGCTGGAAGCTATGTCACTGGTATTTCAAACACTAACAGGGTCACCCATGGTGGCCAGGTTTCAGCAGAGTTTCCAGACTGAGACAGACTAAGAAGAAGGACCTGGCCATCTACTTCTGAAAACATTGGCCAGTGAAAACTTTATGAATAGCAGCAGAACATTGTCTGATATAGTGCCGGAAGATGAGCACCTCAGGTTGGAAGGCACACAAAATATGACTGGGGAAGAGCTGCCTTCTCAAAGTAGAGTCTACCTTAGTGATGAGGATGGAGTAAAGCTTTCAGGACCTTCATCTGCCGATGTGGCACCACTCAAAATGAGAAGCAGTAGCTGCCAATATTCATTAATAATCGGAATGTGGAATGTAAGGTCAGCAAAAAAAAGGAGACCCTCAGTGAGAAGGATTGACACAGCGGTTACAACAATGGGCTCAAGGAGAGCAGCGATTGTGAGGATGGCGCAGGACCAGGCAGTGTTTCTTTCTGTTGTACATAGGGTTGCTATGAGTCAGAACCGACTCGATGGCACCTAACAACAACAACAAGTGTCTTGCTATGAGACATAGGACACAGGTAAATACACTATATTAAGAAGTTGCTTAAAAAAAGAACAGAATATGAAATAGAAGCAGAGATAAAACCTACATAAAATAAAATGAAAACTCTTGTTTACTGCTTGCGTGGACCACAAATTTGACTCAAAATTCCTGCAGCCCATATATGCAATTAGCAGTGTCTGTAATACCAACAAATAAAACAAACAAAACCCTCAGTCAAAATGCCAGGCAACACATTACCATTCTTGATACTAACTTTAAAAATCATTTCTCCAGAGCTTCCTTATGAAGAGAATGAGGGAAATATACTACTTGATATACTTAGGAGTATTCTTATGTAGGTAGATACAAGGGATAGTGTTTTTGAGCTACATTAATTTGCCATTATTCACAGATTTAAAGCTAGCTGCATTCCTCAATGGGTTTGAGGGATGCTGAGCAGCTTTCTCCTCACAAAACATCCCCTCCCCATCTATCAGACATCTTCCTTCATCAGGAAGTCTCTTCCAGAAATAGCTGCCTCTGGAGTGGTCACACAGAAAGGAGCTGACCTCTTACTGATCTCTCAGTCTGTCTCAAGGCTTAATGCACCTGTGCTCTCTGCAATTTACTTTGGTACCTTACTCAGACACTTCTCGAATCACATATTAGTGATGAACGTACAGTATTATCCCAAAGGGATGTATAATTGCACTCTCTTTCTCAAGGAGCCTCTATGCCAGGAACTGCCTAATATAGAAAATGAAGCATGTTGAAGTTATGAAAATATTTGACCCATTTTAAGTTTTCTACCCACTGACCTACTCTAAGGACTAATGCTGTCCCTGAATGATAACAGTAGAGACAGCAGTGTGCCACAGCTGCAGAGGCTTTGTAAAAATGCAAGCATCTCCCAAGTACACATCACCTACACATCTAATTCCCTACTTCACTAAAAGAGGAAATAAGGCCTGTAGAGGGGACATTTGGGGACACTTTATCTTTCTTCATCAATTTTTATAGGAAAGCAAACCTTATTTTGTGTCATGAAGTACAATTATAATATGGTTTCATTACATTAAGAATGTTTTTATCTTTTGTCCATATTGTGACTTATTGTTCTTCTCCAGATTAATTAAACACAATGCTTATTGTCATGAATATAAACAGTCATTTTACTAGAATTTCACCTGAAATTCATAATTTCCCAAATTACCTTCGAATACAAAGTGCTTCTACTCAGTCCACAAGAGTCTTCTTCTTGGTGGTAACAGTACTGGGAGAACATATAAGCTTGAGCATCCCTTTGGGATATGCTGCTAAAAGCACAGACGATCTTCAAGGGCTATTCTGGTACCAAGTGATCAATTACAATGCTCAGTTATCTTTCTGGAAGGAGTCAGAGAGAGATCATCATGAGTATAATTGGTTCAATTAACCCAAAAAACTCTTCTGATTTGAAAGTTTCATTTATGCATATGAGATGAAAAAGGAAACTCAAAATACAACAAAAAGGACTAACCTATGAGAATAGTCTGCAGACAGTAGATGCTGAAGAATTATTTACAGTTTATAATAATAATAATGATAATGATAATGGAAATACCATAGAATTTGGATCCTGAAACATGTTGACTAGCACTCAATAACACTGACTTTTTTTTTAAACAATGAAATTAAGAGACAGAAATCTTAATGGTTCACCGACAGTTATATTATTAGCGTAAATTTTATCTCTACATCAGACCATGAGTATATTTACTCATCAGAACAAATTAGGCATGTGAAATGAGCAGGGCCAGACAGCACAGGGGCTATGTAGTCCATGTTAGAGATTTTAGAATATAGCTTAAATTCAGTGCGGAACCATTGAAAA